TCATCCACTAGTGAAGTCCAAACAGTAACATTAGATTTGCCAATTGTAGAAACTATCTTATTGTTGAATTTTAAATCTATCATACCACTAAACCCTTATGCCAAAGAAAACAAGTTTACACACAGGTGTATATACATATGTATCTCTAAAAGCTCATTTATCTGTTCTAAACTAGAACTGTCTAAACTATACCTAGGTATTAAAATTCCATTCTCTCCATTTTTAGTTAAAAGATCTGGAAACTAAGTATAGAGAAAAATGAAACTGTCACTCACTATTTTTCAACATGATAAAAGGTAAAGCTTTAAAATCTGAATCTTACCCTACAAAACCACATGCACACAGTACTTGGAACTATCGAAAGTCGCGGTGCTGCATGCAAATGAAGCTGTCAGTTATCAGTAATATAGATTTTTTTCCAAACACAAAAGCAAAACAATATTAAAACCAGTTACTAGATCAAGATTTCTTTGCTCTCCTACTTTAAATCGCAATTAAAATAATGAGTTTTACAAAGCTATCCTCTTTCAGAATCTGAATTCTAATTACAGACGGCTCTATTTTTTAGAATACACATTCTGCACTCATCAGTGGTCAGACTGAAAGACATCAGCATCACGGTATGTTTGATTCCATCTATCTATACTGATCAGATCAATCTTCAGAAACAATCAAGGGAGGGGGAGAACAAAAACTATCTAGGAGGAGTCAAAGAACATTTTATTTATCAGCAATATGTATTTCTACAAGCCCTCATTTGCTTTTCAATCATTTTTGTTGCTTATTTTCTTCTCTATTATATACTTAGCATACATAGTTATATGATTCTATTTTGATTTTGTAAGCACAAAACAAAGATCTGAACAAAAGCCAAATTTTCCCTGACTTCTTTTCATATACTGTGCAAGATTTCAGACAAAAGACCAAGGAAGCCAACAGTCTGAGTAGTGCTATGGGTAACTGTCCAGCTGACAATGAATTACTGTCTTCATTTTGCCACCTTATCACAGCCAGATGGGACAGGGAGTCTTCTTCAGCTTTCTCCTTTTAATTTTTGGATTTTCACCCTACTGTCTTTAGGGTGGGGTGCTCCTTTGGGGTTTTTTTGCCTTAATGTGTATCACACAAGGGTTTTTTTTTAGGTTTACCTTCACACAAATCAAATGCAATGGCATGTTCCTTATTGGTGGGGTTAGAGACAACAACAAAGTTACTTTTCACAATAAAAAAAAATTAAATTTTTCTTCCATAGCCTTCTGTATGTTCACCCAGCATACATTCACTGTTCAGGTTTTGAGTTTTTTTCCTTTTACTTTAAACTACCAAACAAGGAAAAGCCACTGACTGAAGACAGAAGAACCAGAATTTCTCCAATTATTATCACAGCCTTTGACATCAGGAGCTACCTCTACAGAACCAAAATAGCAGCTAAAATAAAAGTACTGAAATGTCATTTGTCAAGCTATGCAACTACTTAAAGCAATCATCTGTGTAATGTACCATCAGGTGTAAAGTATGCATTCACCTCAGAAACAAACAAAAAAAAAATCAGAGCTTTCTAGTGGTTACCAAGCAACCAAGAGCAGAAAAAATATGAAGCTTTCAAAATAGAAATGCAAACCAAAGCTGAAATTAATTATTTAAAAGTCAATCCAGCTGGTTTATCAACCACTCTCTGAAAGCCTTTCTTATAAAAGCTCTTGTTTAATCTCTGACCTCTTAAACAAATAAACAAAAGGCAATATTTTTTTTTTAAATAGATGCTTTCCACAGCATATATTCTGAAGGTCTCCCACTACTCCAAAAGCAGATTTACTACTCTCTGGTGAAATCTAGCAATATTTCATTAACTTAAATATTTATCAAGTTCTCTTCAGGGAAAAGGTAAACTTTTGTTTACAAGCAGCTATTAAAATAGTACTCCAAAGACATAATATTTTACTGGTTTATATTTCAGGTTAATTAGCATCCAATGAGTTGGCATAATAAATGAGGGAAGGCACAAATTGTACAGTTGTACAAATTGTTAAACACCAACGTTCCAGCAACACAGCTAATTCCAGAAACCTTACAAGATAAAGATCATAAAACAGCTCTTCATGACTCTGCATATCTAAAAAGAGGCACAGACTCTTGGTTCATTAGTTTTAGCAGCAATTGTGTATTTGTTGTTTGCTCAACTCCAGGACTTTCTCCCACTTTTTAAGAACATAAGAAATAAAAGGTTTCTCTTCAGTCACCTTAATGATTCCTTCATTAGAAGGAAACACTGAATCGCACTGTAGATTCTCATTATCAAAGAAAAAAAAAAAAAACAACACCAAACCAAACAATTCTGTGATTCAGATTCAAACCTAGGCTCACTGGTGAGCTACAAAGGAACACCCAATCTAGTAAAATGTCCTGAGCTATACGCCTAATCAGAGACCCAGCTTCAGATGTCCAATCCAGATCTTTACACGTGCATCCAGTCTTAAACACTCCTGGTTTCTCCAGCACACCTCAAAGGTGTTTGCTTGATATTAGAGCAATTAAAAGCCCTAAAATTTACTGAAAACATGGTTCCCTTTTCAAAATAGCCAATCAAGCAAGCATATTACTTTACATTTATCTAATTCCTCCTCCTAAACTACACCCCCAAGCCTACAGGTATGCCCACACATCTTTTTCCTTGTTTGTCCTCAACTATAGCTTAGCACATTTAATAGCAAGATCACAACTAGTAGAATTACGCATACACAAAAGCTGCCAGCACTTCCAGTTTCCTCACAATTGCATTCTACTTCTGCAGGAATATACCTCTAAACCAGTTTCTAATTCCACTGCTTGAAAGACCTGCAAATTTTTGAAATATTTACAGCAGAGAGGTACAGCAGAGGGTGGGGTTCAGGTAGAAATTGCAGCTTGCTTTCTGCCTCATTTTATAAATTTAATCCCTAATAATCCACTAATTGGGAACACTTTCATAATTGTGTAAAACCTGTTGTGTGTGGGTTAAAAACACAGTTATTTCAAATACTACTGCACAAGAAATAGTGCTTTTGACTAGATATGTACAGGCTCCATGGTCTGTACTATTTTTGTTTGGCTCACAGACACCTCACAAGAACAAAATGACATAAAATTTAGAACCATAAAAGCCACTGTGTGACTGGAACTACATCCAGACTGCAAACATTGATTCATATAGAGTCCCTGTTTTTTCTCTGAAAATAACATGCATAAGTATTGAGCCATTTGCTTTTATCTACTTCCATCAAAACCTCAGTAATTTTTAATGAGGGTTCAAATTTTTAGATTTCTATGGCTCCTGCTTTCAGGATGTTCTCATCTGGACTGAGTCATATCCCTGTGCATATATTTTTTTCATTTTTAAAGACAAGACTATAGCATTCAGACCATCACCAGGAACCCACAGTTTCAGAGTCACCTCTCCAATGACTACACATAATTTCTTATTTCAACTCCTGTCTTACAGTCAACTAAAACCATAAACTAAGTGGAAACTTAAGAACACAGGTTTTTTGTGTGTCCTTCCTGAACAAGCCCTCTTGTAATCACAGAGAGTTTTCAAGCAGCTACGTTATCAATCTGAATTAAAAAAATAAAAAGCCCTAGGGAAAGGCTCCCTCTTTGTGCAAGGCAAAGCACAATAAGAGCCTTCTAAATGTCAGCTGACAAAACTGAGAAAGAAAACGTAGCAGTTAAATCCTGTAAAGTTAAAATACCTCTCCTCTAAAAATGCAAGCCATGAAATGAAAGGTCCAGCCCTGGTGAGGGGCTCCCTGTGCAGACTGAGCAGCAGACAAAATACCTTCAGACAGCAACCAGGGGGTCTGCACACCCACGGCAGGCTGTGAGGCAGGTGCTTGCCTCCACCTTCATTTTCACTTTCCACCCAAAATTTATCCTCCTCTGATACCAAGAAGATCCCTTGGTACTGGCATGACCAACAGACACCTTCTCACCTGGGTTACATCTCCACAGTATGCCAAGCTAAGGCTTCATACCCCAGAGTTAGAAATACTGCACCACCACAGCTACATCCTACTCCTTGCACCCTAACATTAACTCTTTTCCACACATCCCTCTAGTGGGGTCAGGAATCACAGAATCAATTAAGTTGAAAATTCATGAGATCATTGAGTCTAACCCACAATTAAACACCATCCTGTCACCTAGACTACATCCAGTCTTTTCTTAAACACTTCTAGAGACAGTGACTCCACCACCTCCCTGGGCAGCCCATTCCAATGGCTATTCACCCCTTCTGTGAAGAAATTCCTCCTGGTATCCAACCTAAACCTCCCCTGGTGCAGCTTTAGACTAGGTCTTCTTGTCCTGTCACTTGTCGCCTGGGAGAAGAGCCCAATCTCCACCTGGCTACGACCTCCTGTCAGGTATTTGTAGCGAGCGATAAGGTCACCCGTGAACCTCCTCTTCTCCAGGCTAAATACCCCCAGCTCCCCCTCACAGGACATGCGCTCCAGACCCTTCACCAGGAAGAGGTAGCCTGAGGACGGGGGGCGGGGGAGGGGAGGAGGAGGAGGGATGAGGAACACAAAAAAACATACACAGAGATATAAAAGGAACGAGCAAAGGAACAAGCAACCCACACGCTGCTGCAGTTGCAGCAGCCTTCTCTTCCTCCTCCTCCCCGGCGGCGCCCCGCCGTGCCCGGGCCATGAGGGGACGCCGGCAGAGCCGCCCTTCCCTCCCTCCCTCCCTCCCTCCCTCCCTCCCTGCCTGCCTCCCTCCCGCCGGGGCGGCCGCTAACGGCGCCCCCGCCCCGCCCAACGCACCCCGCGGGAGCGCCCGGCGGAGCCCCACGCGCGACCGGGACCGGGTCATGGACACTGGGAAGCGCGGAGCATGGCCATGGCTTCCTCCTCCTCCTCCTCCCGGCCGCCGCCTCCCACAATGCACCCTGGGCGCTCCCCCGCGAAAGCCACTTCCTCGCCCGAAAGCCGCGCCGCTGCTCCCCCCACGTCCCTACTCACATCCGTCGATATCCTCCTGCAGGTCCTCCTGAAGCAGCGACAGATCTGCGATGGGGGAGACACACACACACACACACACCATGTGCCAAACGCGCCGGCCGACACCCCCGGTGCCACCCGTGACCCAACCCCGCCCGCGGGCTGCGCCCCCCGGACCGGACCCGACCCGACTCCACCCCGCAGACCCCCGCGCTCCGAGACCGGACAGCGGCTGGAAGCGCTCCCGAAGCCGGGGCGGGAGAGAGGAGGAGGAGGAGGGGGGATAGAGGAGGGAGGGCTGGCGCCTCGCCGGGGAGGCGGCGTGTGCGGGGAGGGGGAGGGGGGCGATGCCTACCCGCCATCTTGCTGCTGCAGCCCCCGCGGGGCGCCCGGCTACATCCAGCCCGCGGCCGGCGCTGCGAGCGGCGGTGGAAGAGGGCGGGCACCCGTGCTGTCCAGGCCCCGGGCCCGGCGGCGCCTCTCCGCGTCCCCGGGAGAGCCGCGCAGGGAGGGAGGAGGGAGCGGGCGGAGGAAGGCGGGAGGAGGGGTCTGGGCCGGACACGCTGCCCCCGCCTCCGCCCGGCGGAGCCGCTCTCACTCGGTCGCCGCTCGCTCGCACAGGCGGCCGCCCCTCCACGCCCCGCGCTCTGACTCACGCCCGGAGCCGCCCGGGCTGGCCCTGGGGCCAGAGAACGCCCGGGCTCTGCCGCACGCCCCGGCCCGCTCACCTGGGCTCGCCGTTCCCCTCCCCGCCGCTGCCGCCATCTCGGGGCTTGGGCTCCTGCTGCCGCCCGCCGAGGGGCCGAGGCGAGGCCACGGAGCTTTCCCGGCCCTGAAATTCGCGTGTGGTGGGGTCACCTCCAGGAAGGGCCCCAAAGGTGCTCCTCGCCTTGGTCAGCTTGAGGTCGCTTCCAGAGAGAAGGGGTCCCGTCGTGGAGGCAGCGGGGCCGCAGAAGTCCCTGCCTCCGCCGTCGTGGGGTTACCTGGGGAGAAGGGTCCCCTGACCTACTAGAGAGCAGCTCTGCTGAGATGGGTCTGGTAGCCTCGGTGGATGACAAGTTGACCCTGAGCCGGCAGTGTGCCCTTGTGGCAAGGAGGGCCAAGGGTAACATGGGGAGGAGTGTGGCCAGCAGGTCCAGGCGGGTGATCCTCCCGCTCTACTGGGCCCTAGTGAGGCCACATCTGGAATAAGAAAGACAAGGGGAGAGTCTAGCACAGGGCTACAAAGATGATTAGAGGTCTGGAGCATCTCTCTCTTATAAGGAGAGACCGTGGGAGCTGGGCCTGTTTAGTCTAGAGAGGGCATCTCATTAAAGCATATAAATCTTTCAAAGGCAGGTATGAAGAAATGCCAGAGTCTTTTCAGTGGTGCCCAAGGAACAATTGCCATAAACTAAAACACAATAAGTTTCACCTCAACACGAGGAAGAACTTGTTTACGTTGAAGGTGGCAGAACACTGGAGCAGGCTGCCCAGGGAGGTTGTGGAGTTTCCCTCTCTAGAGACATTAAAAACCCACCTAGACATGTTCCTGTGTAACCTGCTTTAGGTGACCTTGCCTTGGCAGGAGGGTTGGACAATTCTATGATTCTGTGACAGGTGGCCATGTCTCCACTACCTGGCCCACGAGCATCTTCTTCATGTGAACCGTCAAGTTTCTGCAGCTGGGATCCTGTGGCTTAAACGCATGGAATGTTCTCCCACTGCACCGCTGCGCCTTCTGACTTCTGCTTTAAAAATACACAATTTAGTCATATGTACACACAAGGTTACCCATCGTTTTTACTTTGTTTGGCTGTACCTTTTGGTCACTGCTGGTGGTTTTCATTTTAACTGTTTTGATAGATTCTTTTTCCTCTGTAGATTGGAAGATAAATGTGTTGGATAAATGCTCTGTTTAGTTAATAACCAGAGCACTTGATAAAGGAAAGGGCCTGGTACTGGTGCTACTTGAGAGTCTTATCTGTGTCTTCCACAGTCTTGTTTTAAATCTCGATAATAATTGATGAAGTTGTTAATACACAAAAAAGCAAAATAAATTATTTTTGGTTTTCAAAAAAGGATACAATTTCATTAGCTCTGTTTTTATCTGAGTCTTTGACAGTATGTCTTGTAAGTTGCTTTTTAACATCAATTTTTTATTTTTATTTGGTAAGTTTGACAAAGATTAAATCTCTGTAGCCATTCATTCTCTTTGCCATGGTGGATGAAAACATGTAATCTTCTTTTAAAATGCATACATCCCTTTCCTTACAACCCTGCAGAACAAACTCCGCCCTATTTCACACCTGTTCAGTCTTTAGATGAGTCACTGGGGCCTACTGGATCCTGATTATTTAACATTTGCTTTTGCTCAGATATATAAGCTCAAAATCTTAGTAAATCAAGTGAATTCGCCATGACTAAGTTATATGAACCATGCTGTTCTCTGCCACTGTAATTTAAGAAGAGATTCAGGGAAAATACTTGACATCACACATCTCTGGCAATGCTGGATGTAATAGCAATAGACATAGAACAGGAAAATTAAGCGTACTTGAAGATCCCATTTTATTATCTTTATATCCACAAGTTATTTTCAAGAACTTTTATCTCATCTTCTCTGCATTGTTCACCACAATCAAGGCCCGATTTTGATTCCTCTGAGTTCAGTAGAAGTGAATCTAAAAATTTGTCACTGCTAAGATGTGATGTGCTTCATTTTACTAAAAGAATCAAGGGGTTTGGTTCCGTTTTCCAGCTCTTTGGGAAGAGGCACTTATTCTCACTGTAGATTGCTGTGGTCTGGAAGAATCAAAGCTACCTTGAGCATTGTTATTATCATCATCATAATGAGAAATAGAACTTAATGAGATACATCTATGAAAACGGGGTTTATAATTAACAGAATTACTGCTCTTTAAAGTGCATTAATAGTGTTAATTATCATCCATTAATCATTGGCCCATATTTAATGGTCTCTAGAGTATTCAGGATTTTTTTTTTTCTACCTACAATTAAAAACAAGAAGTATAATTTATGTAATAAAGCAATGACAATTGCAAGCAGTCATACTTAGCATAAGTTCATATAAATTAATTCTTGATCTTCCTGTGTGCATGTGATCTTAAGTGTGGTTAGTTCTTTCTCAGTAGCCAGGGCTGTGTGGTATTTAAGTAGCACAGATAACCAGGATCAGTGTGTTAGAAATTAAAATTGTTCAGGAATTGCAATTTTTTTTGGTGCTATACATTACCCATAGAACATCAGACTTTTGTCCTCGGGCAGAGTTGGTCCCACCCTTATCACCAGCAGCCTTCAGGAAAGGTCTCTTCCTCTGTGAGTAGAAACTCTGTGGCAAAACCTTTGGCTCATACAGTGACACACACGAGGTGGGGGGGAAATAATTTTAAAAAAAAGGAAACAAAAAAAAAGGAAAAAAAATTGGCTTCATGCCAACACACAATGCAGAATCCCACTTAATGACTAAGTGAGCAGGTATTTCTAAACTTCTCATCCTCGGTGAATCCTGACGTACTCCTTGGGAGCCTGCTGCAAAGTTCAGGTCGATGGTAAGCTTCCCTGCCACTGGTCACAAACAAGCCAGGCAGAGACCTTGTAAGTGTAGGACAGATGCTGACTCTTCCAGATGAACTGCTGTTCTAAAACAGCATACCTAATTATGGAATAAAATTTTCATAACAGACGTGTTTTATTAGACGAGATGTGTTAAGAAACAAGTAATATGACACCTGCCAAAACGTTCTAGCAGATTTTGTGCTGGACTTCTTCTAGTCAGTTTTAAAAAAACACACTACAAAGGGTGGAGGCCAAGGCTACGGATGGGAGGACACAAACGGAAGACTCCTTGGCAAGGTCCTTTGCATGTGATAAAAGACACCTGCGTTGCTATCTACCTGATGTATCTCAAAATAGTCCATAGCAATCAGCAAGATGTTGTAGTATTTACATAAAGTACTACATAAATCCTTTCAATCTTGCATGTTAGACACAAGATACCCAACATCCGCCTAGACATATTTGCAACATGTTATTCTGTAATTTGACTGGTGACATTTCTTCCATCAAAACTGCTCTAGATATAAGGATCTCGAGCTCAAAAACACTGCTGCACCCAGAACTCACCCGTGTTATTGTATTTATTATCTAGCATATTTATTATCTATTTTTGCTCATTTGTTGTGAAGAAGCAAGTCTGATCAGATAACTATGTCAGCTTTCAATGTCCACATATTAACTAGCTTTACATTTCTCCCAGGCTACCTCTGTGTGTGGGAAGAGCTTCCCATAAATATCTGTGCAGCCATCTTGCTCTCCTCCTTCGTATTCCTCCGCAAAACTCCCTGTTCCTGTAAAGCCTACCAAAAAACATATCAGGGTTAGACTGCTGGTGCACCAAGGCAGCTGCTTATCCTCTTGAGGAATACTGACTCATAGTTTTCTTGTCCACCCCCAGGATTCTGTCTGCACGCATATGTTGTCCTTTATGGTTGAACTATTCACTCTCTACTTTTCAGACCATCCTTCTGTTCTTTGCAGAGTGCTTAACCAAAATTGGCCCATAACTAAATAAACAGATTAGGATACATGTACATACATAGGCACACATGTACCTATAATATGAATATATACATATGAAAACCCAGACTAAAGCCTGGGATTCACAGTCAATTTGCATTTGAAAATATAATAAAGCATTTCTGCTCAAAAGAGGTGTTCATCATAAAATGTTTCCTTTCTTCTCCTTTCCCTTTTCCTTCCTTCTCTCCTTCCCTTCCCTACTCCTCTTTTTTTTTCCCTCTCCAGTAAAAATACTAGAGAAGTTTTTTTCATACATCTCTTATGGTTGCAAAGGTTTGTGACTCCGCAACACTCAGTTTATTTATTTTTTCTTCTTTCCTGGGTAAGAGGTTGAGCTGGTGACTACTGGCACTTAATATCAGAGTCCAGCTACCACTGTTCCTAGTGAAGACTTTGCAGAAGGATTATAAACACACAGTATGCCAACCATGAATAAATTAACACCTAAATTTGCTGACAAAGAGCTTGGTTAATATGAAATTAAGTTTGCCTTGTGGGTTCCTCATGTCATTCTGGGTCAGCAACAAATGTAGTGGTATGTTGAAGTGATGCTCAAACCTCTAAAAACTAGGAAATGCCCTCCTGAAGTACATCCTGATGCAGCATTAAGGCTGCACCTGGAGCTTCCAGTGGCTCTTGGCATTAATTTGCAAGCAATGGCGTGAAGATGGTAATGTGTGTGAAAAATTAAGAGAGGCATGTAAATCAGGAGACAAGTTCTGATGCCCTCATGTTTCAAGTAAGACCATTACCTGTGGTGATACCCAACTCCTTTGGCTATAGACCTGTCATCTCAGTAGTAGTCAAGTGAAAGCCTGTATCTGATCCTGTAAGTGCTCAAGCTCACTGTGAAAAAAGCACAAAGAATTACTGCATCAGAGGTTGTTTCAAAGAGCTGGATTTCAGTGCTTGAGTGCAGTATTTGTACAGTATTCTTCATTTAGTGGCACTCACCTGGACAAAGGTTTTCCTTTAAGAGCACTGTTCTGCAGCCCTGGGATGTTCTGCTTCAGGAATCATGTGTCATGCATATGTATGTTACAGGAAGCCTGAATCACTGATCAAACAAGGCAGAGCTCAGGTTGTACCACTGCATTTTAGCTCTGGATTTCCTGGTTCACAGAGATCTGCATCTCACTGACATACTGGAAGGGAACAAGACTGGGCAATCAGGAACTGAATCTTTTCCTCACTGAATTGTCCGGGGTTTTTTTTGTTGGGTGTGTGTGGGAGTGCTGTTTATTTGTTTGTGTTTGTTTGCTTTGTT